TTTCAAACGGGCCGGATCCGGCCCGCGGGCCGTAGTTTGCCCACGGCTGGTCTAGATGGTAGCCATTGGTCTCTAAAAGCCATGGAAGCCAGAACCACTTCCTTCAGAGAAGAAATCGTTGCTGAGAATCTCATCTCCAATACCTGCTTTCTAGTGAGATTGCATAACTTCACAGAAAATTAGCACCTGCACCTGCAAAGTTGTGGCTCTCCCACCCCCACTTATCATTTCTCAAGACTCCTTAAAGAAGGAAATTATCGATTTATTATTCTGTAGAGAAATGGAGTGCCTCTGACATTTATCACCTATAAGAGGGTTTAAAGATGATGTGTTAGCTTTCTGGAAATTTCGGCCATTACTTTAGATGGAACTGAAATTCTAATTTATTATTTCCAAAAATACAATCTCAGTGATAATGAGAGAATATTTCATAGATTTTCACCTTGGAGGACACTTCTCTACCAAAACCCCTGCTGCCCTGGACTCACCTAGATCCTGGCAGGATGTTCCCTCTCAGGGGTCAGCCAGCAATGAAGAAGCAGTTTTCTCCTTGCTGTGACCTTCGTCCCCTTTATTGTAAGGCCAGGGGGAGAGAGGTGCCCAATTCTCAACAGCTGCCAGAGAGAGTCCTGAGTGTGCAGTGTCTAGGACATTACAATCGCTTGGCAATTGACTGATAATTCGTGGTGTGACAGCCTTGTAACTCAGCAATCCCATTCAGTCAGAAATTAACTCAGTAATCAAAGTCATTAAAGGAAAAAAACACACACTACTGAATCAGCCAGATGGTGGGGAAATCAAACACATGAAGAAAAAATGGCTGGTCTTTGAGTAAGATGCTGGGCAGTAAAACCTGGGCCCTCTATGCCTGGTTATACTTCAAATTCTAGCTTGAGCAAGGCTTGGCAGGTTTCCGAAGTCTAGTGTGCTCTAACCTTTCCTGTGAGCCAGAGCAGTGCTGGTCAGATGGACAGCCATGGGGAATCTGTCCAAATGGCCCTGGCTGAATTTGGGCTCTTGGTGTACATGGAAAACTTGGAAAAGGAGGAGAGAAGCAAGCAGACCTGATCCTAACATTTGTAAGCCCTTGGGCAAGAGTATAAATGACAGCTCACATACCCCGTGTCTAGACATTTAAAAGTTAAACATTAATAAACTATTCACCGAGGCATGTTCTAGGCTACTGCCTGAACAAACATCTCTCCATAGGATCGGGGAGGCCAGACTCACATTTAGAATCCTTGAGCCCTGGCAATTCTACACTTGAATGCGGCAATGGGAAGAGAGCTGGCTGTTGTCTGTCCTCTTTCCTTCCATGCCTGGTTCCATCCACACTGTAAAAGAACTCCAGGGGCTCTGACCATGCCCAAAGCAGCTGTGCCTTGGACACCTGCAGGCCTCAGGGCTGCGTACCAGCCACAGAGTCTGCCCTTGGGAGGACGGCCCAGGGTAGACACCCACATAGCCCTGGAAAGCACTCAGGTGTTGGGAAAGGAAATCCCAGGTCCCAGAAATGTATCTATAAGGCGAGTCAGGGACTCCAGCTGGGCCTGGCCCATGGACCTCAAAGATCCCTTGCCCCATGGAGGAGGGCTCTCCAGAAGAGAGAAGGAGCAGGACCTCTGGGTGTGGGACCCCCTTGCTGGAGCCCCTGAGAAGCCTGAGAGTCACGGCGGAAACGTGCTGAGCCCTGTTCTCACCGTCATTCACATCCCTTACACTCCTCCTCTGTCCCTGGCAGTCAGACCGCCAACAGAAACGTTCCGTGTACCTTTTGGTCCGTAAGTCATAAACAGTTACAGTTGCTCTCATGTATGGTTTAGAGCCATAGACAGAGAAAAGCAAACATATTCTCAGTCCACAGTGAGTTGTTTCCTTTCACATCTCTTAGCAATGCTGGCTGAGGCTCGGGCTGGGTTCTATGTTCTGACTCTGAAATGGCAAAGTTGACCATGCGGCCAAGCCCAGAATCCAGAGCAGACCTAAGGCCGTCCATCCTCTCAACTACTGGACCACATGTTCTGATTCGAGAGCTTGTGCGCTTAAAGTATTAGCTATGGCAAAAGGCTGAGTTTACAGCCGTAAAAAGGAAGAAAATTTTACCCTTTGCAACATCATGCATGGACCTGGAGAGCAATATGCTAAGTGAAATAAGCCAGTCAGAGAAAGGCAAGTACCATATGATTTCATTCACATGTGGAATTTAATGAACAAACTGAACTACCAAGTAAAATAGAGACAGACTCATAGATAGAGAGCAGGCAGACAGCTCTGGTGGGGGTGGGGGTGGTGGCTGGAAGGATTGAGCAAAAAAGATTAAAAAAAGAAAGAACTCGTGGACACGGATAAGAGTCTGGTGATTGCAGGGGCAGGTGGAGGTGGAAGAGGGTACGGGTGGGGAAATAAATGGGGATGGAAAAATAAATTAAAAAAATAAAGGGGAGGAAGAGCTGTGAGTTTAAGACACCCCAAGCAACTTTTACTTTAGGAATTTGAAATGCAGTCTCACTAGGATGCTGTCTCCTTAACAAAGTAATACCTTTAAAATATTTAACAACTTGAAAATGAAACCGTGCTTGAATTTTCCCTGCAAGCACTAAGGAAACACAGTGTTTCTCTTCTGTCTGAAATTCACCACCTTCTCAGACAAAGGAAACTCTTGTAAAAGCAATGGCATTTTCTCTATTCTCAAATAAAGAGAAAACAGCATTGCAGCCTTCTTGTTGGATCTAACAATGAAGGAATAAAACAGTTTTGCCAGAGGAAAACCAGGCTGACAAAATTTTACACAGGAATATTTTCAACTACTGCTCTAAGGCTAGTGGGAAGTGAAGTTTCAAGAAAATTATATCATTTGATCATTTGGGGGTGTATTATGTTGATTGTCAAGCTGATGGGGCCAGTCCTAAGCTAAATTCTAATAAAGAAATGTGATTTCCCTTTTCCTGCTCCCCCCCACTCCCCACCCCTCATGATCCAGTCTGTACCTCCACCCCAACCCAATCCTGGCCTCTGGAAGTAATGGGGACCGTCGCTTGCCTTGCAGCTCCCCACATCTGGGATGCTCTCCCCCACAGGCCAGCTTCCCTTTGCTTGGCTAACTTCTCTTTAGCTACTTCTAAGGAACCTTCCATGCTGTTGCCCACCCTCTCAGTGATGGCCACCTGTACCTCCTTACTATCACACTCACTGCGCTTGATTTAATCATTGTTGTATCTACGTTCCCTGCCTGATTACACACTCTGTTAGAGCAGAAAACATATGCTTGTTTTAATGTTTCAATCTCCACCACTATCCCCATGTGTGGCATAGAATGAATCTAGTTGAATAAATGAAGGAGTGAATTAATGGATGGGAACTTAAGCCACTTGTTGCTGCTCCCAGAGTATTTGATGAACTGTAATTGAAGAACCAAAAGCATCACCCCTCCTAAAGGAGTCATAAGCCTAATGGGAGAGTATTTGGAGGAGCAAGGAACTGTAATACATTCTTTTGGGTTACCTACCTGATGTGTGGTGGGGTAAAGAATAAAGGTAAAAACTTTTGAGAAGAAAGTAGTACATGAAAACCATAAGGATAGCTACCAACTAAAAGCATTTATGCATATCAATTCTAATGCCAAATGCTAATCATGTGTCATCTCTACTATCCACATTTTATAGATAAGGAAATTGAGATTTGGTGATTAAAACTGCTTAATTTCTTTATTTTTTATTTATTTTTATTTTTTATTGATTTTTTACAGAGAGGAAGGTAGAGGGATAGAGAGTTAGAAACATTGATGAGAAACACCGATCAGCTGCCTCTTGCACACCCCCTACTGGGGATGTGCCCGAAACCAAGGTACATGCCCTTGACCAGAATCGAACCCGGGACCCTTCAGTCTGCAGGCTGACGCTTTATCCATGGAGCCAAACCGGTTAGGGCTAAAACTGCTTAATTTTACGGGTTAGGAACCCAAATTGGTTTGACCTAAGTTGGAAAACCATCTCAGCAAGTCTCCTATTAACTGGCACCCCTTTGTGGTGGCCTGGAATCCAACCCAGGCTGTGGAAGCCCTAGGAGTCCCAGCCACCCACTGTGCTCCTCACCCTGCCCTCTTGCCACCTGCTTCTGCCCTTGTGCTACCCACCCACCCAGCGGTCCACCCTCCTCAAGGGGGAGGTCTTATCAGAGTTTCCAGGCACCGGTCAGTACGGATGCCCCTGTCCTCAGAGGTCTCTCCCAGATGGCAGCTGCAACAGTTAAGATTAGATTAGGCTGCCAATGAGTGATACATCAGAGAAAAAATAATCATAGTGGAAGACTCTAATACTTGCATAATTCAAGGGGACTTTGCTGCCCCTACATCTCAGCCCCTCTCAGCCAAACAATGTGGTCTTTATTCAAGGCAGCCACATGCCCAATTGAAAATCCCGAGTTGTTAACAAACAAGGAGAACAGGTACTCTCTGCCTCAACACCTCATTCATGGCTCCCTTTGCTCAGGGGCTCCTCTGGGCAGCGGCGGCCAGGTGGGAGCTGAAGGAGGAGGAGGCACGTAACCCTCTGAAGGAAGCCCAGGCTTTCCACAGAGCTACATGATTGGCATTTCTCCTGCATGGCCTGTGAAGTATTTTGAGAAATTTGTTGAGAGAATTTTGTTCTCTTGAAGCCACATCATAGGAGTGGCTGCTCTGTGCCTGATTTCGTCATTGTGCTTTTAAGGTGCCCAACAACCCAGCCTTCTCACCACACAGAGGAACATCCCTGTCTTTGTCAGGTCAGCTTGACCCGACTTCCACAAGTCCTCTCACCCAGAGCCATCATCCAGGCACTAGCACCTACCGTGTGGGCAATCAGGCTCATGATTACTAATTTGAAATAATACATTTTTTGCAGAAAAATGCAAATGAGAATACCTGTAAAAGGCTTTCTTTAGTTTGCACCTCCACCTTCTTTCCTGTTCCTTTCCATCAGGAAATATTTGTCCCAACATGGTGTTTGTTGCTTCTGTTGCAGGGTCCTGCGGTTGTCTTGTCATGATTTTGTTTGCCTCTGAAGTGAAAATTCACCACCTCTCAGAAAAAATTGCAAATTATAAAGAAGGGATTTATGCCTACAAAACACAAAGTGAAAAATACACCACCTCATTCTGGGTCGTTTTCATTTGCTTTTTTGTTCATTTTTTGAATGGGCTTCTAATACGACTTGCTGGATTTCAGTTCCCCTTTGCAAAATCTAAAGACACAGAGACGACGACGAATGTAGCTGTGGATCTAATGTACTGAACGGCAAACATTTCTGTGGTTTTCCAAGGCAGTGAGCAGACTTGCTGCATCCGCTTGGATATGGTTAATTTTGTGAATCCTTTCAGATGCCTCAGTCAGACCACCCAACCTTCGGTGATAATGTTTACAAACTGTGCACTATAGGCACAGGCCGGAAGGAGGGGAGCAGAAGGAAGGCTTTGGAAGGTGTGCTGCCTGGGGGGGAGAATCGCTTCACCAGGCTGTCAAGGCAGTCAACTGGAATGGACAAACCTACTCCTACATAGCAACATGCAAAATGCCTACTCCATCATGGGGGCATCAGAAGGCATGGGGATCTATTTTAATAGAAACATACTATTTCGGATATAACCATACATTTCTTGCCACAGACACCAGAAAACAGAGCAGGAATAACTTCTTCCAGTGATAGTGCATTAAGTGACCTTTTCAAAAAAGTTCATTTAAAGTACAGTCTTACTATCATGCCTGTTGATTTAAACTTGCAAACTTAAAAAAGTAACCAAGAAGAAAGACCAAAGCTAAGGGTATTTTCTCTCATGCCTAGGACCCCACTACATTAACACAGTATTTACAAGGGAGACAACTGCCAGGACCTCTGAAGAATCATGAAAAATGATTTTCCTGGTAAACTTTATACAAAATGACTCATTGGAGCTGTTGTTTCTAACTTCAGTGTCTTAAATTCTAATTTCCAATTATGAAATTATGCTACATTCTGGGATTATGATGGTAACACTGTATCATTGTGGTTTTTGGTCTGGCTGTCACAAAGCATGGCCCAGGTCAACTTCTCCCCGATGAATTACCCATGAAATTGATCTGCAGATGACCAAAGGCCCCAGCTGAGCCTGGAGCTAACCCCCCCTCTCTCCTTCACCTGCTGTCCTCAAGAGCACACACAGGAAGAAGCAGAGAGGCTTGGTACTTAGCTCCGATTCAAGGGTTTTGAAAGTGCTTATTTTTTACAAAAATGCTTTTTTCCCTTTTGGAAAAGTCTACAAGAAACAAATGACTGTATCCCTGAGAACTAACTTGTTCTGCTGGTGGTTTACAGCCACAGGCTAACATGAGACCACACCCTTAGTTTCCAGATGTAAGCCCTCTTCCTCCATTCAGGAAACTCACCTGGAGAATTTCTAGGTCACAAGTCAGTCTAGTGGTAGAGGGAATGTTTGGTTTAGTAATGAGCTAGAGCCCACTTATGAGAGTCTTTAGCCAAATGGTTAGATACACAGGCATTGTAGCTAGGAGTGGGCAGGAGGTGCAGAGGCAGCCAGCCACTCTGTGGGTAAGTGGCCTGAGATCCCCGAAGGCCAGGTTCCCCATGCTCTCATTGGATCTCTCTCTCTCTCTCTCTCTCTCTCTCTCTCTCTCTCGCCCTTCCCCTCCTTCCCTCCTCTTTCTCCTCCTCCTCCTCCTCCCTCCTTCCCACTCTCCCTCCCTCCTTAGATGTTTGAAAAACTTCTAACACCAAGTTTTTCTTCTTTAAAAAACAAGTCTCTGGTTGTTCTCTGTTCTATAAAAAGAAAAAACTTTGAGCAGCAGCTGAAAATCCAATGAGAACCTACCAGGCAAGCTAACACTATTCCCTCAGTGGGAAGTAGAGGTAGGCCATGGTCCCTGTAAATTGTGTCGCTCACAAAAATAAATACAACCTGGTCCTCAGAGTGCTATTAAGTTGTCTGTCTCTCTTCTCTCGGATGAAATGTGTGGTCACCAGTGTTCTAAGAGTAGCCCTCAGAAGAGGGAACTGGCCAGGATGTCTTTTTGTGGTTCTCTCTGTGGGGATCAAAGGCCCATCCGACCTCCCATCCATGTGGCAGCCAGCATTCCACATTCTCACTAGGACACAAGGCCCCCTGCTGGCTCTGGGGCCACAAACACAAGGCCATGGTTGGGTGCTCAGTTCCAGGTAGTCAGCAGACACCCTCAGCACCGAGAATATCAGTGCTTATTATGCGGTGAGAAAGAATGGCAAGAAGCTATGAAAGTCATCTGAAGCCCTCCTGTGAAGACTGTGCCATGAACTTGGCAAGACACATTCACCAGAATGGGAGGGGGCTCCTGAACTAACCTGTGGGACAGGGCAGGCCACAGTGCACGGAGGAGGAGGGTGCTTTGCAGGTTGCGAAGGTCTTGTGCTCTGGTGGTCCCCTCTGCCCCTCCAGAGCAGCCCCTCAGTCACTTCACAAGCTTTCAATGTGGATGAGTTTGCTGGTGGCTCACTCATTACACAACCCTAGGGCAGCAGGTGGAGGGAGGAGGGGTTCTCACTGTCCACATTAGGGTGCCCCAGCTTCCAGCTTGCAATTAGAATGGATATTGGTCCCAACTGTTTACCCATCAAAACCTGAATAAGAACCAGGGGGGAGACTGGGAGGGGAGCTGCGGACTGCAGAGAGATTTACCCTCTCTCTCAATCTTCCTCAACCTCTCCCCTTCCAGTAAGATCCAGTATAGGTAAAAATAGTGTTGTTATAGAAATGCTGCTTCAAGCCCAGGCTCAGGCCACTCGCCCTGGTTTTCTACCTGCCTGGCTGGCCCTAATCACTTCTATTTAGATATTCTATTCAAATCCTGTGCTATTTGGGTGCTCAGGTTTGATCCGGTGAGTCTTCCATTCTCAACCACCTTCACAGTGGTAGTAGTTCATGGCTCAGGGCAGATAAGCCCCCTCCTCCAAGTGACAAGGGACAGAGCCATGCTGATTGGTTTAGAGAAAAGGGACCTGCTCCTTGAAGCTAGCAGGCAGAGAGAAGGCCGGGCAGCCTGGGGCTCTGGATTCTGGGATGAAATTCCCTCCTTGGGAAAGCCCTCTTGCTTATCAAAATGCTAATGTAAACTTGATAACTTGTACTTTGATTTAGAGCAGCGGTTCTCAAACTGTGGGTCGCGACCCCGTTTGGGGTCGAACGACCCTTTCACAGGGGTCGCCTAAGACCATCGGAAAATACATATATAATTACATATTGTTTTTGTGATTAATCACTATGCTTTAATTATGTTCAATTTGTAACAATGAAAATACATCCTGCATATCAGATATTTACATTATGATTCATAACAGTAGCAAAATTACAGTTATGAAGTAGCAACGAAAATAATTTTATGGTTGGGGTCACCACAACATGAGGAACTGTATTAAAGGGTCTCGGCATTAGGAAGGTTGAAAACCACTGATTTGGAGACTTTGTGACTCCCACTGCTCCCACCCACAGACATACCTGGGCTGTCACAACCCAGCACTCACTGGGCTATTTGGAAAATCCCAAGGAGCCCGAGGCTGACTGGATGATTTAAGTCCAAATTCTCCAATCTCCAGAGAATGTCCCCTGTGGGGCTTAAAGGACCGCATGAGATAGTATCAGACCTGGGGGCAGGGTGGGGCGGAGGGGTAGAGAATGGGGGATGGTGCTAGACAAGCCACCCAATAATTAAAGGCAAGTGTCTAAAAGATTGCTTCTTTGCTAGAATCTTGGTCTGAAGCATTTTGACCCACCCAACATGAACAGAACGAGCAGCGAGGCAGTTTTGTCCCTCACTAGGCCAAAGTCCACCCCTGTCCTTGTGGGCCATGACTAATTCAGGAGGAACATGGGAGACTCAGGTGCTCCTGAAAGCCTTTCTTCCCTCTCTGCTCCAGTCTGGTTCGTAAGGGGCACATGGAGAGGGTGGCCTGGGCCCTCACGTAATTTAAGCCCACGCCCTACCAGAGGCATGCCATCTCAGTGTACACAAGCAGCTCGCCCTGTCCTGGCAGTTTCCTCAACTTCCTATTTGCCATGACCTTAATCTAGGCAAAAAAGTGTGTCATATCTAACTCGGAGGTCTGGATTCCAGGAAGCCACAGCTCACAGATTTTCACTTACATTTCCATCCTTCCATTTAGCCAAGTATAACCTAGAGTGTGTCTTAACTTAGGGAAAGAAGAGTGTCTGTCCCACATCCCAGGCCAAGAGAAGCTGGTGTATTCCCTTTCATTTGCTGCTAGTAGGTACTCTCTTCGCACTCCTTTGCAGTCACCCTTTCCCCACTGACTCTCTGTGGCAGAGAGTAGTGTGTTCCCTATCACATTCTTCTTAGGCATACAGCTAAACTACATTTCCCAGCCTCCTTTGTAAGTGGGTCTGTTTGAATAAGTCTGGAGGCTCACATGACCTGTGCCACTTCCCAGCCTGGCCCTGAAGAACATCCCACTCAACACTTGAGTTCTATCTTCCCAGGTACTGCTGCCTGGAAGGTTGTGGGATCCAAATGGTGAGGCTACAAAACTGGCAGGCTTTGAGACCTGCACTGGAGTGTGACCAGGTGATAAATGAACTTTCTGTAAAGCTACTAAGTTTGGGTGGTTATTTGTTACTGCAGCTTAGCCTCTCATAGCCTAGCCAACAGGTCCTCTTCTCCAGGGTAGCTCTTCTGCTTTGTGCCAGTGAGACACTGCTCTAGGTGGCTCAAGGTGTAGCCTGAGGCCAGGTGCACCCCCCACCACCAATGCTGAGCTTCTGTCTGCGCTGCTGTCCTGGAAGCTGTGTCCTCTGGCCACATTGTCCATCACCTGCTGAAATGAAGACCAGGGAATGAATTTTCTGCATGACAGAAGGTTTCCTTCCTTTCCCTGGTCTTCCCTCACCCACATCACAGCATACCAATGGCCAAACCCTTGGGACACAAGTAGCTGGTGGAACCAAATGGCCTGAGCTGAGAGTTCTGATCATGTTTACAGACACACATTTCAATGCAAGACGCTGACATAAGCCTTCTTATCTCCCTCCTCCCTTGCTTCCAGCTATCCTGTGAATCACATTAAGTTCTTTTTTTTATTATTGTTGACACTATTACAGCTGTCCCTCATTTCCCTCCCTTTACCCACCTCCACCCCTCCCTCTCCCCCCCTCCCTCTGGCTATCACTACACTGTTCTCTGAGTCCATGGGCTATGCATATAAGTTTTCTGGCTAATCTCTTCACCTTCTTTCATCCAGTCCCCACCATCTACCC